CAATGCCTCAACAACTCATTGACACCCTCATTCTCAGCATGGGCAGATGCTGTGTGAAGTGTCTGGTATGCAAATGTAAGAGAATAACACTTCTCTGACTCAAATGGAACCAATATTTTATTCCTTACAAAGTTATAGATTCTTATTCATAAGATTTGTTTACATTTTACATGCACGTAGCATCGCGTGACAGAAATCCGAAGTTTGTTTACTTCGTTCTTCGCGGAGACTAAAAGGTATTGCCATTCCGCTTTAACTAAATTTAATTAGAAACTTGACGGAACTGAAGCAACATTACACACCCCCTTCCTAGTGACAGCGATTATGGAAGATAGTCTTTAAAGTGACTGGGAAACCTCACATGTCTGCCGGTTCTAGTAGTCTTGGTTTTATGATGAGTTTCTGAATTTTCTTCAGTGTTCTTGAGTGCAGGTGTTTCCCCAAGTTCCGCTTTCTTGGAATGGGAGTTTTGAAAAGGAATATCAGAATCTTGCACTAGGAACATGGCTTTAGTCTGTCTATTGAAACTTTTAACTTTTCCTTGGATTTCAATATCGAAATACTTATCCCTTTCTTGCTCTTACAGGATACGGTCCAAGATAGACAGGCTGTAGCGACGAATTATTAATGTTGTTGTATAGGAATACGTGAGAAACAGTTGGAAAGATGTTTAGAAACAAAGACTGTTCTATTTCCATGGTGGTGGTAGAACTTGGCTTCATAGCTCTTATTATTTTCTGAAGGTTTTGAGAAAATTCAGACTGTTTCATATGAGGTACTGTTGAAAAGAATTCACCAGGTAATGCTAAAGGGGTTCCGTATACAAGTTCTGCGGATGAGCAACCTAAGTTTTCCTTGACGGCAGATCTTATGCCTAAAAGAACGAAAGGCAATGCTTCCAACCATGATTTTGATTCGAGTAGATGACATTTGAGACTTGCTTTTAAAGTTCGGCGTTGTCTTTCGATCAGGCCATTTGCCTGTGAATGGTACGCAGTTGTAGTGTTTGTATGAAAACCAAGATATTTTCCTAAAGCTTGAAAAAGTTGGCTATCAAATTGCCGACCTTGGTCAGATGTTATGCGATTTCGGAATTCCAAAGCGTGAAAACCAAGAATAAATCAAAGCTTTAGCAATAGATTCTGCTGATTGATCTTCTAACGGTACAGCTTCGATCCATCATGTATAACGATCGATGATGGTTAGAAGGTATTTGAATCCTTTGCAAGGAGGTAGCGGACCCACCAGATCTATGTTTAAATGCTGGAATCTGTGTGGAGGTACTTTGAATTCTCCCAAAGATGAATGTGTATGTCTGTGAACTTTAGATCTTTGGCAAGATAAACATGCTCTAGTCCATAGTTGGCAGTCTTTATTCATATTGGGCCATATGAAACATCGTGTTATCAATTTTATCGTGGATCTTATTCCAGGATGAGATAAATTATGGATTAAAGAAAATTTTTCTGCCGAAACTTTGGCAGGGATGTATGGTCGATTATAATTTGTAGAAGTATCACAGTAAATTTTCTTGTCGCTGTCCGGTATAGGGATCTGTAGGATTTTAAAGTTTTGGGTTGTTTTTTAGTGTCTCCAAGTCGTTATCTTCTTGACAGTCTACTATAGTTTGTAAGTCTATTGCAGATGTACAGAAATGGTGTCTATGCAGAGAGAGCGTCAGCGACGGATTTTCAGCCGTCGGTATCGTTTATTATCGAACTGGGCCAATATATGATTTTCAGTTGTCCGCGCTTGTCATGGTGAAGCTTTTTCCAAATTTTGTTGGAAGGCAAATGTTAGTGGTTTGTGATCCGTGTATATTGCAAAAGTTCGCCCTTCTAAGATGTATTTGAAATGTTTTACTGCACGTAGCATCGCATGACAGAAACCCGAAGTTTGTTTACTTCGTTCTTCGCGGAGACTAGAAGGCGTTGCCATTCCGCTTTAACTAAATTTAATTAGGAACTTGACGGAACTGAAGCGACACTACACTGTGAAACCTGCCTAGCAGTCAGGGGAGATCATATCCCCTATTAAAGACCGGATGTTTCTTGCTGGACACCCATCACAGGGATGTTTCGACCTTCAGTCGCACTGTGCTCCATGCTACTTTTTCAATAAAGCTTCTTTTTATCCCTCTGATTTCTCTTTTAGTAAGTGTTGCTTACATTACTCATGTCCTTACGTATTGGGGATCTTACGGTATTAAATGTGGGGATTTGGAAAGCTTTTGTACAAAGTTATATTGAAAAAACTGTCTCGTCCTTAATTTTTGCACACCAGTGTATTTTGTATCTAAACCAGGAAAAAAAAAAAAAAAAAATTATTTCAACTGACTCACGCAGTACTTTTAAAGCGGCTTCCAGACATGTAGGAATAAAAAGCTGGCAGATATCACAGCAATGTCCGGAGTGGAAATGTCCAACTGGCTTGTACCTTTTAGTGACATAAAAAACTTCATCAAGAACATCCAAAATAAATAGTAGCTACTTTGGGGCATGCAGTCAAATAATATATTGAGAAGCAAAGTATTGAGAACCTGATAGAAACAGAATGGAGGACGTCCGGTTAACATAGCTCGTATTAGTCACTCCTGAGCCACTCATAATTACCTTTTGAAAGCCTAGTCTAAACCTTTGTGCTTAAATTGCTGTGCTCAACTATCAGTGCATCACATTTTAAGAAACTTCATGTGAAGTATTTTAATGCTTATGACTTGCTCTAGAACATATAATAGGCAAAGAGGCAAATTTAAATTTGTCTGTGTGTGTCTTTCGTTCACGCAGCACGTAAGCTAATAGACCCACGGCTACGAAATTTGGTACATAGGTACATCTAGACAAGAGCCAGTGCACCTGAAAGTGATTTTTTCGAAATTCTAATATTTTTTTATTTCATTTTTTGTGACGAAATCGTGTCATTTTCAGACATAATGGGCTATAAGAAAGCGAGATTTTACTCTACACACTCCATTTTCACATCGTCATGAAACGTAGGCACTTAGCTATTTTACGAACTTAAAATAAATTTAATGTTTTAATACACCGATTAAATACGAATTTATTTACCAAAGGGAGCTTAACATCTTTTCAACGGGATTTTTTCTAAAAAAGTTTATTTTTCTTTGATTTTTAGACACGTTAAACTTTTATCCTTGCGACTGCTGTTGCAAAAAGAATTTTGGAAAAATGATAATATTTTGTATTTTTAAACAATTTTTTAAATAAAGCTTCCGAGTATACTTCTCACATCTCACATCTTTAAAAATGTGATTTTGGCTACAATTTTCCTGTCTTATTGTTGTTGATAGATTTTTGATGAAATCACATTATTTTGAATAGTTTCATTCTTTTAGACATATTGGTTTGGCAACAATTTTTCATCGTATTTCTTATGTCACTGTTTTTAAGAGACTGGCATATTTCATTGTCATTTTTTTATATATATAATTTTTTTTGACTTTTTTTTTGATAAAGTTGTTCTGCAGAGTAAAATTCTGCGCAAAATTTTATGTTCTTTGAGTTGCTTTCATGTTATATTTTGCTTATTTCACTGTTTATAAGATATTGAAAAGTTTTGCATGATTTTTTTTCTTTAACGGAAAGTTGGTTAATTTTTTTATTAGGATAATTAATATTTGTATTAAGGTATATATCTTATTTCATTCTAATTTTTTTCTCTTGAAAATATAAGATAAAATATCATTAATTATACTTTGTTTTTCAGAATTTTTTGTTTTTTGTATTCTTTTATGTTATTTGTTGCTCATTTCACTGTTTTTAAGATATTGAAAAGTTTTGAGTGATTTTTTTAGGAAACAAAGTTCTTAACCTCCTTTATACCATTTGAGTTCTTAAGATTTTGCAAAGGAAAGTTGGTTAATTTATTTATTAGGATAATTAATATTTGTATTAAGGGATATTGCTTATTTCATTGTAATTTTGTTGTACATAACTTTTTTTAATGAAGTTGTTCTGCAGAGCAAAATTCTACGCAGTTTTTAAATTTAACGTTTGGTGTTCCCTTCAGCCATTTTTCCGGTACGTTTAAAAGCCAGACGAAGGCTGGCAGCGAAGCTGCTAGTAATTTATAAAAATGTCTAAAATGTGGTTATTATTTGATTTTTTTTCATTTAATGTGAGATATTGTGTTTTAACATATATTGTAATGGACTTTATGTTTTTATAATTTTATCTACTTTTACATTTTGAACTGTACTCAGGAGCTGGTTGACTTTATATTTAATAACAATCATTATCATCACAAAGATATTTACTTTATTACGTATTTATTAAACATTTTGTTGTAGAGGAGCGATCTGGCTCCAAAACATTTTAAATTCTCAATCACAAAGCTGTAAGATCTGTTACAGCAGGTACACAAAGCGAAAAGAATACTCAATTCAAATTATGTAGGTCGAGAGTATAACGCGCTAGCAGCGCCTCCTGTCGGCAACTCCTAAACACTACTGAACATATTTCAATTCATTTACTGAATTTTGTGCATGTTTACATCTTTTATTTTTGTTGTATTCATGAATATATGGCTTGTTTTATAAGGTTTTAATAAAATTACAGTTAACAATATCTGTCTCGGTACAGTATAACCATTTTTAGTTTTGTGCCAGTCATTTTTACTAACCTAACCTAACCTACAACACATTACAACTTTCTGAATCAGACATTTAATTGTCAAATATCAGAAAATGGTATTTGTCGGTTTTACCGGTGAACAGTAGTTGATCACCAAGTTTACAGCCATCATAAAACAATATAGCAAACCCCAAACCAAGTAATTTAATTTTTTTTTTAAATGTTCCATGCTTTTCCAACTTTACAATAATCTGCACATGAGATTTATACTTGAGATTCTTCTTCAAGTCATGTGCCTTCATGTTAAGCATACATGCATCCTTGCAAGTTAAAAGTCAGACGTAAAACCAAGTAACATGAAGTGTTAAATCTCTCCCCCTCATTCATAAGAAATATTTTTTTTTGTAGGGGGGGGATTCAAAATGATAAAAGTTTTCAATTTCCTTCTTATCAAGTGAAAGTGAAAATGATGTTGTTGCATTCTTCCAAGGAAGAGATATTTTACGCTTCACACAAATTTGTGAAAACAGATATGAAATGAAGTCATATACCACTAGGGAACTGGTGATCATGCATAGGTATTGAAAGACAGAAAATAAAACGCTAGTCATAGCTTTTTATTTAGTCATAGCTTAGAGTCTAGCTAGTCATAGCTTAAAGTCTCACATAATGGAGAAATAAATAAATAAAAAACAGCCTTATATGGCTCACCAAAATCTTGAATTCTACTAAGCTGAGTTTATATTGAGTAATATAAGCATGTGATAGCATATTAGGTGCTGCAGTTTATAGCTGTCTAAAAATAAATTACACTATTTTTAAGTAGGGTTATGTATTTAATAGTAAGAATGAAATAAATTAATTGTAATTCTTTTTTGCATTTCCATTAATTTTCTATTAGTAATTAAAAATTCCTGTTTTGGGGGCATATGGCACTTGAATCTAGTGACATTTATTCTTCAATGCTTTGGTTACCACCAGTAAAACCGACAAATATCCGGAAAAGTTTACAGAATATGATATAGAAAATTAGACTCTGATTGTCCACTATTTTCAAATATATCTCTCTATATAATTGTTATGAAAACAATTCAATAGTGTGATACAGTATGCTAATGTCAATGTAATATGACATAAAATGTTTTCGTTTATATAGCTGGTGCTGGAGAAAAAATAGGATGGGCATTTGGACTAGGATTGGAAAGACTTGCAATGAAATTATATAGTATACCAGATATTAGATTATTTTGGACTCGTGATACGGGATTTTTGTCCCAGTTTGATGTGAAAGACATTGATGCACCTATAACATACCAGGTAAATTTTAAAAGATTACATTATGATACCTGCATGTCTGAGAAATCCAATTCCATATCTGCAATTTTTTTTCCTTTAAATCCAGGTTGATAATTTTATTTCCTTAAAAAAAAGTAGTAAGAGTCTTTTTTATCAAATCTAAATACGTATAGAAATTTGATTGCACAACAAAATAAAATCATTTATAGACCATTTTTATTTTATATACAGTCAAAAGTCGTTAATTTGGACACCCATAATCCGGACCTCAAAGCTACAAACTTTCTGCGCATGCGTCGCGTTGACGCGTAAGACCTTTACCGCTGCGAATTTGCGTGTGCGCGTGCGCAAAATACGTTTACAAATGCGCGTTTAATGTATAACGGACGGGATAAGCTAAGCTAAAATTATCTAATTATCTATTTCAGTTAATGTTGCAGATTGCGTTGTTCCTTAATGTTCGAATTGGATCCGGATTATTAATTTTTTACAGACTGTTAGAGCAATTTTATAAAAGTAAGCTTGAACTTTCGATTATGTCAAATAGAATTTCCGATATATATTTACTAATATGTAAAGGATATACAAAGCGAAAGTATCTTTCGGAGTCCATTAAACAAAAAGTGGAATTGCTGCAAAAAATGGATAAAGGTATATCCTTTGTTTATCTAAACTTTAACGTTTGTTTATCTAAACTTTGTTTATCTTTAACGCTGCTGCAGCGTGCAATGAATTGGAAGTTGATCTGTCAGCACTGTCCTTATCTTAAGAGCAGATGTTTTTATTTTATTTGGCTTATAATTGCTTACTCAATGTAGTATTTCATCTCGTCTTTGATATGATTTAAATCAAATGCCTCGTCATTATAATTCGCTTCCGATAGCGAAGAAAGTGACAGAGGTTATTGAAACGAAAAAATTTCGATTGACAAATTAGTCAGTATTCTCGACACAGCAATTATAGGACTGGAACAGCGAAACTTTGTAACTGAACAAGAAATTATGTCTGTTTATAGAATTAAAGAGAATGTATTATAACATAAAAAATGAAGCAACTTAAACAACTTACATTGAAAGAAATGTTTAATAAAGTAAACAAATAAATATTAAGCTTTTTTTATTGTAAATTTTGATACCCTTTAGATCATAATTGTTCTTTATTTCGTAAATTACGGTTTCATATTTTTAATTCTATAATTTCTGTATGCCATTTTACCAGATTTAAACTGATGATCTATAATCCGGAATCGCCGAAGCCCCAAGGAGTCCGGATTAACGACTTTTGACTGTATAATTTTTTAAAGCATAGCAGTGTTTCAGTAGTTCAGATTTACTGGTATCATACTCTATCCGAATAATTTTATGCCTCTTTTTTTCTCCTGCAGAAATATATATAATAATATATGTAAATAAGAGAGTTTCATTTTTTATTTATTCTGCTTTTTTTTTTCCCTACAAAAAATTTAAATATTTTTTCTTCTATTAAATAAAACCAAAACACAGTTAAATAGATATTGAAAGTTTTAAATTATTTGTTGGTGCTGAATAAACAAATCTTTCATAAATAAATCAAATTCTGCAGCATTCTAATTCTGTTAATATATTTTAAAGGACATATATTAAAAGTTAGTATGAAGTAGCTGACCATAATTATACATCATATTATAAATAATTGACGTGAAGAAAGGATATGCAGAACTTTTACTTAATTTTTAAATCAGAAGCATTTATTATGACCAAGCAGTTATTCTTCCAAGTGGACAAAGAATTGTGATCCTATGCATCAGATATGTCCAAAATGTGATTTTTTTTGGTGTTAAACGAAATTTTGCTAATAATAATAATTAGTAGTTTTATTTTTTAATTTATAATTGGTACTCTTCTGTTGTTTTGACCGGATTCAAAAATGTACTATGTACCGTATATACTCGCGTATAAGTCGAGCCCCCCACTTTGACATAAAAAATTCGTAGAAAATAAGAAACCCACTTCTTATTTCGGAAGTGGGGGGTCGACTTAAAGTTGACCCCTCACTTCCGAAATCGATCGAGAAACTTCGAAAAAATTTTTTTAAGTACTACATTTATTCAAAATCATCCGAGAAAAAAAAAAGTAAATATACGATAAAAAATACCTTGGTAAATAAACAAAATCAAAATCCTTCAACGTCTGATTCACGGTCAGATTCGCCAAACATTTCATAGAACACTTCTGTCGTCATTATACATATTTTCAGTCTCAAACTCTGTATTGTTACAATCACTACTACAGCCTTCATCGTCATTTTCATTTTCAAAAACAGCATCATCTTCCATGCCGTCTAGTTCATTGCTAATACAACATTTTTTAAATGATTTTATAATCATTCAGAGGGTATTTCGCAGGCATTCGCATTTTTCAGGGGCAAAAACATAAAAATTTCCAAAAGTGTCCACAATTTTGGCCACCACTGTAGTTCGTTACATAATTTAAGTCATGAAATTACTTCAAGTAAGTGACTTATTTGATAAGTCGTCCAATTCGAGTGCAGGAAGAAAACAACTGCATTATACAAAGAAATTTTTGAACTTCCGATACTTTTAATTTTTTATGGCCCCGTGTATAAGTCGCCCCCCCCCACTTTGAAGTCTTTTTTTTTGTCCAAAATATCTCGACTTATCCGCGGGTATATACGGTATTTAGGGATATATGTGCGTATGTGTACACACATATACATGAACACATATATCCATCTATACATGCATATATATATGCATTTCTAAATCCAGTCCTGATAACAGAACAGTACCTTATAATTTGAAGATGTATCATGCTATGTTAGACTTTTGGTACTTACATATTACCATAACTACCATGGTGCAATTTGGCAATTTTCATGAGTTTTTTTTTAAGAAGACTGCTGAACTGTCAGTACTTATTGTAAAATAATCTTTAGCAATTTCAAATAAAAATTTTAATTATTAAATAAGGAAAATCACTTGTATTTTTTTTTCCCTCTTTTCTCTGTGTACATATTGATCCCATTCTGCTTAAAAACATGAGAGAACTGCACACCAAACTGCCTATCAAATGCATCTTATCATTATTCCTTTTAGTGATTTTTCTGAAAAATACTATATTCCTACAGAAATGTTACTCCACTTACTGCCACTGCTGGCAAATTTCACAAGCACATTTTAAAATTAAAGGGGGGAGGATATCACAGTTTGTCTATAAAAACCTTTCTAACTTGGACTACAATAAAAAGAACAATACAAAAATGGCACATTGACTGAAGGATTGCAATGAGCATGATTACCTGAAGAATGTCATGCACATAGTTACCAGAGTTTGGTACATTCTCAAAATTTGGCAATTTCTATTAAGATGGTTGCATTAATACGTAAATACCAAATTATGTTAACAGTCAGCTATAGTTTTTAAAATTACAAATATACAGTGGGTGCTCACACATTTATTTAATGATTTTGCGAAGATTTATATATAAACAAACTTTGGAATTTTATTTTCTAACGTGTTCAGTCCGATAGCCCTTTTGTTGAACTATCATATTACTTCTTGATTTCCAAGATGAAAGTCCTTTTCTTAAAATATCAAGGTTGATTTTATTCCATTCTTTTTTTCCCACAATTTTCCAGAGTCCATCCAATGTTTTGGGATGCTGCTTAGAAAGAGCTTGTTTTAAAAGTCCAGATGCACAGTAATCCATAGGCTTTGGCAGCTTCAGAATCGGAAACTCTTTTTGACATAATCGAAAGTTCAAGCTTACTTTTTATAAAATTGCTCTAACAGTCTGCAAAAAATAATAAGCCGGATCCAATTAGAAGATTAGGGAACAATGCAATCTGCAACATTAACTGAAATAGATAGATAATTTTGGCCTAGCTTATACTGTCCATTATACATTAAATGCGCATGCGTAAACGTATTATGCACATGCGTAAAAAGTTTGTAGCTTTGAGGTCCGGATTAAAGACTGTAATTATATCACAATCCAGCCTTGTTGGTTTATTACTGCAATCCGTTGGCAACAATTTTGACATGTTATAAATGAAATTAAAGTTTTTAGAAATGGCTTTTAGAGTTTGTAGCCTCTGTAAGCTTATATGCTAGGCTGTAATCTAATCGTTTACTCTGCAAATATTTCATTACTGGCTTAGTATATTGAAATATTTTCAAATATGTGTGTTGATATTTCTTCCAAAATAGATTTTGCCATTTGTTATAGCTGTGCATTTTGTATATCATTGGAAGCAAACTTTTGAGTGCAAGTATTGATTCTACGTATAAACAATTATCTTATCTTTGCAATTGAACGTCCCAGAATTTTGTTTTTTTAGGGTGCAGTATTTCGAACTCGATCTAGTTTTACTGAACTGATAAGATAAAGCTTCCTAGATTTGGTTTTAACACCAGTTCCTCCCCACACATCCATTCTTTATTGGAAGCAAACTTTTGAGTGCAAGTATTGATTCTACGTATAAACAATTATCTTATCTTTGCAATTGAATGTCCCAGAATTTTGTTTTATTAGGGTGCAGTATTTCGAACTCGATCTAGTTTTACTAAACTGATGAGATAAAGCTTCCTAGATATGGTTTTAACACCAGTTCCTCCCCACACATCCATTCTTTGATAGGATTCTTCAAAAAATTTGCCACATTCATTTATTAGGGAAAAAAGAAGTTCCTCCTAAAATTTCGATACATTTCCTGACCTCAATGTCTATGCTGTCTAAGAAGTTGATGATCATGTTGCACAAAGGAGAGGTTGTAGATGGAAAGTGAAAGATTACAAACACATTTTATTAAATGTGAAAAAAATAGATTAGGATTCGTATTTCAAGTACATATCAAAAGGGAGTGTCCTATCACTGCTCTTTCCTGATGGAGTGATAAAAAAAAAGAAAAGGCGAGTCACACAATTAACTCCTTTGCTGGGTGTCCAGATTGTACTGTTTATCACACCATTGGCGACAGTCTATCACTATTTGCAAACCAACAATAAACACATAAATCAGAATAATGAATTTGTTTCTTTATAGAAATGCAACCATTTTCTATTACTTCCATTAGAATAATAGAACACTAGATTAGGAAGAAAAGGCAAATGTTTTTAAGCTGAATGTTGGCTGGGATATTTGCTAATAAAAATTCTGTCAATCTTAAGCAAAATAGAAAGCCAACAAATATGAAAGGGACGATGTGCTTGTTGTTGCTACGGTAATATTTTCTATATTGGTGTGTTCGTTGTTAGCAGCACCAAATTGTCCTTGCATGTGTTTGATATCTCAGCTTCAAATGATTTTGAAGTGGTGGCCTCTTATTGTCTTTGCGCAGTAATTGTCGTGGCAGAAGGTGCTGGTTTTAAAAATCCAGGATTTTTTAGCAATGTTTTGCAGAATCTCTCATTAGTTTTTCTCTTTCCTCAAAGTTCCTGTGCACTTCCTTTAATTTTTCGTTTATCTATTCTGCGTACTCAAAACCCTACCCTACAGCTATCGTATCTCATTTGCGTTTTGCAATATGCAGTGGTGCATGTACGTCTGGCCAAATCATGTGTGTCCATTCGATCGTTTGAGTTTCTTGATCGACCCAAAATCGCTCCGGTCGCCCGCTGGCCCTATCCGCCACTGATATTATTTAAATTGTAATATATATAATAAATTTATTTGTATGTATAAAGTATGTAATAAATAATTTTTACAATTATAAGTCATCCATTTTCGTCTGTAAAAAATTGCTACCATGGTAGTTGCACTGCTATTAAATACCTACATTTTTTGCTCTTTCATATGAATTACAAGGAAGGTGAGAGATGTGAAATATATGACTGGTGTTTGCAAGTGAATATAAAATAGATTAGGAAAAGAAATATCAAAATGAATATATATTGGATAATTCTACTTAATATTTTCATTTTCTATTTAAGAATAGAAAAAGACTGGTCTACTAATACAATAATTTCAAATGATGTTTAATATATAATGCATATTTTCTCCCTTTTCAGGCAATTAGTAAATATCCACAATGTACCAACGACATATCTTTCTGGGTACCTGAAGGTTACCATCCAAATGACTTCTTTGATATAGCAAGAAATGTTGGAGGTGAAGTAATTGAACAAGTTCACAAAGTTGATGAATTTTTCCATCCGAAGCACAAAAGACAAAGTTATTGCTACCGTATTGTGTATCGACACATGGAGAGAACTTTAAGCCAGAAAGAAGTAAATGAAATACACAAAAAAATTGAAGATGCAGCAGTGAAGTTTTTGAAAGTAGAGATACGTTAAATACATTGATGTGGCATTAAAATTTATATATAATGTGGAAGTATTTTTCAAATGAAATTGTTTTGCATTGAAAATATAATACAAACTGTGAAATAAATATGAAATGTTTAAAATTTTCAAAACTTTATTATCTGTCTCTTCTGTCAATCTCATTATTGTAGTCCAAGATATAGTGTGGTATATGGCCTACTCGTTCAATCACAGTTACAATGATAACCTGTGTATATTACTTTGCATTATCACCAGAAATTAAAATATAAATTATATGAAACTAAGAAAAGCATATTTCAAGGCAACGTTAAAAATTTTTTTAAAAACTGAAATACTTCAGAAAAATGCAGTTGGCCGAATACTGAAGATTTTAGACTCTCATTTACAATGGTCATTGCACATACATCTTTCTCAACTGAGCTTGAAATTAAAACCTCCATTTGATGCTAACTCTTAAAAAAAAAAAAAAAAAAAAAAAAAAAAGAGAGCACCATCTTTTTTTTTGCTTTGCATTGTTGTACTGATAATTCAGACATTTTCACTAGCATGTGTCAAAATCCATTACATAGTATCTAGCTGTTTCTAAAGTTTCTCAAATAATTCCAGCAACGGAGCTGCAAGAATTCGGTACCTATAAAAATCAAAACTTTTATATTGTGAACATACAGCACAAATTCCGAACTCTAAAATATTCTTCACTAGTACAAGTACATTGTTAACATTTTCAATTAATATTTTAAGATTAAGTTTATGGAGATGTGTTGGTTCCATTAAGAAGGTCTCAGTGCCATCTTAAGCTTACTGTTTAAAATTTAGAAAATTGTTCTAAATTTTGGTGAATAAAAAGAATATGAAAAATATTTGAGGTCTTATTTTTAAAATTATTTTGTTATTAAAAACAAAATTATTAACTGATTATCACACATGACAATTCAAAAATAAATGAGCGGGTAGGGAGAAAAGAAATAAGCAGATTTTGTAATGAAATATGTGTGTCCAAAAACACATAGAGATGGTACAGGATGCCATTCAATGGTAGGAAAAATGGCTGAGGCTAAAATGAAGCAGTTGGCTGTTTTCATATGCAGTTCTATATATAAAATGCATGTCCACAAACGCTATGTTTCAATACACACCACTCAAAATCCACTTGGGAAAAGACAATTTATGGCAGCAGAACAATTATCCACCATTCGACAATATTCCATACTTAATGGAAGTCTATACTGCTCAATATATATATATGCTTAATATGCCAAAGCATTGGATGCTTGTAAGAGTACAGTATCTGTATAGCATGGGAGCACTAAAAATACTGACATGTCAAAAGTCCTTTCATGTGATTGAAGATCATAGCTCCTACAGCCCCGACTTACTACCCTGTAAGAGGGTTCCCCCACAGTTCTTGATCTAGCTGCTTTTTATAATGTTTACTTTCAGCATGAAATTAAAGTGATTCAAGAGTTAGATTCTGATCACTACATTGTTTTGATTACTCTAGATATTCAAATTCGATACTCAAAATTAGAGGAGCAAGTCTTAACAAATTGGGACGATTTTCGGTTTATTTTGGAATGTATACCCCCCCCATCAAAATTTCCAGCAATGCGGACTTTGACAGGTGTATCAAAAACACGAGTCTTAACTGAAAGAAGCAAGAGCCGCGGCTTCGAAACCTATCACACATCCGTGCGCTAGGCTCCGCCGGATACTAAATCCAAAATTAAGCGCAACAACCTGCGAAAACTTTGGCAGAGAACACGTGATCCCAGTATCCCTGCTCAATTTCACAGACTACAGAACGAGATTAGGTCTGAAACACGCTTGCAAAAACAAGCAGAGTGGAAACACTACATTGAGTCCCTAACGACTGACAACGGGTCGGTTTGGTGCACTGCCGCTTGTCTATGCAAACAATATAAACACATTCCACCCCTTGAAAACGGCCAATGCTAACCAGATAGCTTTTACAGACACTGAAAAAGCCTGAAGTTATTGCTGACAGTCTTGCTACACAATTCAGTCTAAATAACAATGCCTACTGTAACCGTCCAGTTACACAGGGGTGCATACACTCACATGTTGAACATTTCTTAACACAACCCATCACGCCTGATACAACTGAAGTGCCAGAGTTCATCGATAAAATGAAGCTGAAGAAGGCCCCTGGCATAGATCAAATTTCGAATCGCATGATTAAAAACTTCCCCATTATGTATATTGTATGGATAACGGTCTTGATTAATCTTATGCTTAAAAGTGTTACTTCCCTAACTGTTGGAAAATTGCCGCAGTCATTCCTATTCCAAAACCAGGTCAAAATTTAAATCTTTCCGTCAACTACAGGCTTATTAGCTTCTTATAATCTCTCTCGAAAATATATGAATTTGTTTTACTTAAATGCCTGAATGAATTCTGCCGTGATCGAAATTTAATAATCCCGGAACAATTTAGCTTCCGGCCTGAACACTCCATGGTACACCAGTTACTCCGTGTAGTGGAATTCATTCACGAGGGCTTTCGTAAACGAGAGAAAACTGGAATCGTCTACATTGACATTGCCAAGGCCTTTGACAGGACTTGGAATGACGGGCTCATTTACAAGTTCATGCGGCTTGGTTTTTCAGCACAACTCATTAAAACTATCAACTCGTACCTGATGGGTAGATCCTTTCAGGTGCAAGATCACCATGAATACTCAACTCCCCACCCGATCTGTGCTGGGGTCCCACAAGGAAGTTTGCTCGGACCTCAAATGTTCAACATCTACGTAAATGACATACCTAAGTCACTTAATATTGATCTAGCTTTATATGCGGACGACACAGCCATCATGAACCAACATTCCAGTACCTCCAGGGTAATTTATTTCTTACAGAATTATCTTTCAAGCCTAGAGCTGTGGCTGTAGAAGATCAAAATTAAATGTTGCTAAATGTGCTGCCACTTTATTTATCCGAAGTACTTTCCCAAATTTACCTAACTTGCAGTTCTTCGGAGAACCAATTCCCTGGATTCCTACCTATAAGTATCTAGGAGTGATACTTGATTCAAAATTAACTTGGCAACCTCACATTCAAAAAAACAATTTCCAATGCGAAGGTTGTCAAAACCCAACTTTTTTTCGCTAGAAATAGCGACCTGTCTTAAAAAACATGATTTTGCTCTATAAATCAATGATAAGGCCAATTCTGACATATGCTAGCCCGGTTTTGGGCACAGCAGCAATTGCTAACAGGAAACATATCCAAATTTTTCAGAACATTATGCTACAGCAACTTTATGAAGCTCCTTGGTTTGTTATGAATGAGGACATTCATAATGCAGCCAAAATTCTCCCCATAAATCGCTTTATACATCGACTTTTGGCTAACTTTTCCCAAAAGACTCCTTCGATTGGAAACCTCGTACTCCACAGCCTCCCTGTTTATCATCTGGGAATTGCATCGTCAAAAAATGAGGCCCAGAGCTTTTCTGGAGAACGCATATAATGCACTTCCTTTTCCCAAGAGGCATTGCTATGTAAATGAGGCGCCTCGAAGGTTTCAATACACTCGTTCGCTTCCCCGCCCGCACCTGAGTGAATTCGCTGATCTTTTAGCTTCCCTCAGGGTCACTCTCTCTTTGTCCCGTAATCGGTTGTTATCAGGCTCTACGCACATCTTTGTTCTCTTCTTAAAAGGGCTCTATTGCAAGGATTACTTAAATTTAATCTCTTTAAGAGAACTTAATGTTTTTCATTAGTTATCATAACACTGACAGTTAATGCAATCTTATTATATTTATAAAAGTTTCTCCTCAAAGGCATTGCTGGCCGTGTCTCTTTAATTCAAACTCGCCTAACGAGTTCCCGCTTTTTCCCTCCCCCAGACCCGAAGCACTTGCGACATGAAGTTTTTCGCGAGTGTTTCCACTTTCGTGTTGGCCACATGACCATTGATCAAGGAAACATATGCTTTTCAAAATTCATGATGTAGCCCCTTATTTGATACCAAAATTAATAAATTAAGTCCTTCAGTGTTTTTACCTTTTTTCACTGTGGAAGGCAGTTACTCTTTTTGTTAAAATAACATTTTGGCACTAAATTTACCTCTTTGCGGAACCCTCTTTTTGGCGTCAAAAATAATTCTTTGACGATGTGGGGATAAAGGCTACATGCCTAAGAGCTCCGTAATAGAACCCTTCTTTGGTGCTCATGTGATTGAAAACCCTTGGATCAATAAAAATTGGAACAGAGCAGTACAACTAGTTAGATGGGATTATAACTGTACTACAAAATGGTGAAATTCTGCTGTCCTATTCTGCACTGCATCATAACCATAAGGGTGAGGTACCAAACATATTCAACCAAAGAATTTTTTCCTCTTTATGTGCTGTGATTTAGTTTTCTAAAGATTTCATTTGAGCTACTCTGTTTTCATATTATTTGCCTTATTCTGTCACTCTGAATTTTATTCTCACTCAAAACCGAGTAATGCCACATTAAAAAATAAAGTTTCATAAACAGTATTTAATGCTAGGAAGCCAAAATCAGCAAATGCTACTCAAAACGAGTACTGTGAAACAAATCAACATATGATGCACAAAAGTATTCTTCCGAGTTATGACTGAACCTAATGCTGTATTATGACATAGAATGTTTGGTACAAAAAGTTCAAAAACAAGGACTTTCAAGAAGCAGAGTGCTCTGGCCAGCCTACAGATGTTAATGAGGCCCTCCTGCGAGAACTTGTAGAAGATGCAACCACTCAAGAGCTTGCAAAAAGGATTGACCTTTGGGAGTAATATAAAATCTGAAAGCTTTCAAATTTTTTTTATTATCTAATTTATCTCATTTCATATTTTACTGAGACTGAATTCCTTTTCAGTTTGCTATTTTAATAACATTTTTGAGCTCGATATTCCTTGTGCTGAATTCCTCTAGATGTAACCTGCATACAGTGAAGAAGTGAAAACCTATATTTTAAGAAGCTACCTACCTGTTTATAATAAATCCAGTCTTTATACGAACAGGGTTCACAGCCACATTTTAGTTTAAAAAATAAGCACCTATAAGCACTTTTCAAGCAGATTTTAAGAAAAAAAATAAACACCTGTCTAATTACATCATACACAACTGCATAACCTTAAAAATTAAAACTGTAATTCAAAATATGAGAAATGCAGTATTTATTAAGAGAGAATAAGCATTATCTCAACCATGGAAAACAATGCTTTTTTTTTTTTTTAAATTTTAAATAACAGTTCAAAATAGAGAAAATAAATAATAAGGCATATTTATTGTATTCGCTTGGAACCTAATAATAAATACAATTTATTTTTCCACTCATATTGATATTTAAGTAATTTAAATCTAAATTCTGAACATTTTCTAAATTTTCATTGTATATCAGTTTTCCCTTAACAGATATTGCAAGCAAAGTAATTTAAGTAAAAAAGAGGAACATTTCTGAAATCAGAAGACAGAAATTTGCTTTATGCAGTCATCCTTTAACAGTAAAAGCTTAACTACCCTGCATACTTGGAAATTGGCGAATATTCGGACAGTCGAGCATAACTTGAAAAAGAGGAGCGGAGGGGCTAGACTGTAGCCGCTCTAGATTTTTCTGCTAAATAAATGCTTTTGACATTTCGATATGTGCATCATATAAAAATAAACCAATGGAACTAAAAAATATTCTGCTTAGCAAGCACAGTAAAACTCTTTTAAATGTTCCTAGACAAATCTCGGACTGAACATCAAAATTAATTATCTCTGCAAAATATTGCAAGCATTATTGCGTAATATGTGCACAGTAACTCTTCCCTACGTGATATTACGCAATCGGAATCAACAGCTGCCAGTATTGCGAGAATAATGAACTAAATAACTGGGGTGTTTTCATTCCAATTTTCAACAGACGGTGTTAAATTTCCGGAATAGAATCATTCTTTGCTTGGGTTGGTAGACCGCATAACTTTTAGTCCTATTCAATCCAGATTGGAAAGTGACCAAAAAAAAAGTCTGTTGCTTGTTTTGCAGCAAGCTGTAACAGTTTCAATAATTCAAGATTTTGTGGGGAAAGGGGAGACCTCCCAAATTTCGTACTGTATAATGTATTGGCCAAAAAAATTAAATTATTTTGACTATTCGATTACTTTCCCTTTATTTAAGCCATTCCAAATATTATTCCTTAGAAAGCTAATCTGTTAAAACACAACCATTATTGGTAATAAACACAAATATGAACTGGCCGAGCAGAACGAGAATGCAAATTTTGAAGATCTTGATAAAAATTAAAACGTGTGTAGTATTTGGGTGGGAGGAAAAGAATGCCGAATGTACCGGAATTTTCTACTGCTTTTGCAATTCTTTGACCAATAGAACGAAGGACACCTGTCTGTACTCTACGTGCATACCATAGGTTACAGTAATGCAGAGAAAGGGGGGAAAAGGAATTTCTGGGAGTATGATTCACCATCTGACATTCCATATTAGAAAGAAAAGTTGTTTATTTAGTTTTGGCTTTGGTATGGGGCAAAATAGCGTGTTCATTAAAAAAAAAATGACATTAAAAACAAAAATATAAGGGCTTTAAAGAAAAGTAAGCACCTATTAGGGCCTTTATATTTTATTTTCAAGTATAAGGACTTATAAGCACTTATAAGGACCGCTACGAACCCTGATGAACATATATAACTGGAATATCTGGATTATGATTAAGGCACAGAATGCTGTCTACCCAAGGGAAAAGTGACTTACTGGAGGCCTTTTTAAGTAGATTTGGTTGTTATTCACGTTACACACAAGGCCACATGCAGCCGACTAGATCACGAAAATGTGAATTAAACCTTATGTCAGTGTTCATCGACGTTACTCCTCGAATCTGGTGGCTCTCTATAAAAAATTGTCTGAAAAATGCTATTATATGCTTCAGACATTAATTACATTTTGCATGTTAAATACAAAACAATGAAAATATAATAAATAAAATTTTTATACTAACGGCGAATATATATAAAAAAAACAACACTAAGAGGGAGGAAAAAAGCAGTTATCACAAAAATACAAAGAACAGCGATGTGGTTGGAAGATGAAATACTAACACAATGGGAGGGGAATCAAATTAAAAAAATAATAAATAAATAATAATAATAATAATAATAATAAAAAAAAAAAACAAACAGATACTAATAAAAAGTTATCATAAAAATAAATAAAAGGCAGGTTTGTTTAATATGTAAGAATAAATTTAATCTGTTGCACATTTTTTGTAAAAAACTTAATGCAAATTGCCGATTTATACAAGAAACGTCAATCTTTTTTAGCATAAATTAAAAATGTCAATGAACACACATAGTTCTAAATTGCAATCAGTTTGAACTACAAAAAGTACAGAGTATGTATTGATTTTAAGGGTACGTAAAAGGTATTTGTTACTAAGGTGTATTTTCATTATAACAGTGTTTGCACAAGTTAATATTCGACAATTACTTCAGCTACGGAATCTGAACAGTTTTTTCCCCTAGTAAAATTCCTTTCTATTCCCTAGTTTTTTACCTAAAAATTAACAAAGGCGAATCCTCAAGAGAATGTTTTAAAATAGTAGTTTCACTTTACAATGTCAGCAAAAAGGGGTTGGGGTGGAAATGCATTCAGATTACCAGTCCTTTTAAATGAAAGCTTTCCAAATTTTAGTCTTAAATTTTAATATGGTATATGGTCAGATAAGATACTTAACATCTTGAGGAATTGCATGCCATCCTTCTAAAAGTGCACTTTTCAGATCCTGAAGGGTCCAGGCAGGAATTTGGGTGCTGAAATCACACTCGCTCAGATGTGTTCAGTGAATATGGTGGTCAATCCATTAAAGTGATATCTTCTGTTTGCAAGCACTTTGACATCACATATGCTTGGTGTTGCCGAGCACTGTCATCCATTAGCAAAAACTCTGGGCCAACAGCAACCCTAAAAAGTCTAACTTGTGTTCCAGTACCTCATCCACATATCTCCAAGCAGTTAGAAAGCCTCCTTGAGGGATATATAGCTCAGTGCAGCCATCTGTCATGATTCCTCCACAAACCATTAAAACACAGTTGCGGAAATGGTATATTTCATGGACAAGGCAATTATATTTTTTGGCATACAGTCCAACTTTGATAAGCCTTTGTGTAGCATTAGAATGGCTAATTCAAGTTCCTGTGGCAGCCTAATGGTCCAAAACCGAATTTCTTGTAGTTGCTTTGCAGTTTATTTGAGCCAATGCCAGAAAACATACTGATGCAGTTTCTGTTCTTGGTCATTCTTGACCAGCCTGCCTATCAGCTGACCTAGTGCATAAAAATGGGCTCTTAACTCTTAATATGACACTTTGAAAGATATTCAAATCCTGGACAACTTCTGTTGGTGTTTGACCTTGTTCAATTCTACTAATTATCCACCACTTTTGATCTTCACTTAAATGATGCCTTTGAGCCATAACTACTGAATACTAAAACTCTCAGAAACCACACTCACTTTAAACAACACTACAGATCGGAATTCCAACATGAGTCCACCACATTGTCAATCACTGAATTTGCGTATTTTTGGTGCTAAAATATGCACGGTTAAGTTTTATTTAATTAGAATAAATAATTACAGAATTGGTTGTAACAGTAACTTAGTGAGCACATTCCTTTTTTCATTATCCTTTAATTCTAATGACCAGTGTATTTAAAAAAAAAAATTGTCTAGGATCGGTACTTTACTGAGATGAACTCCAAGGCCATCTTGTTCGAACAACCTGTCAAATGAAAATTCAGGTAGTTTCAGAACATGTATAATTTTTGATAAATGCATTCAAGAACTGAAGTTACAAATACTTCGTCTTATCTTTAAAGACCATCTGCAAGAATAGCTTAAATATTAAAATTTTGTTGTTTCAAAATTTACAATGTATGTGTAATGCTAAAAAACTGTGGCTTGTTTACTTTTTGGAACAAACTATGGATATACAAAAATGAATACATTTGATATTATGGTGTAAAATGTTTTTATGTTCTTTTATTTTAGTTTTGCCACAAAATTTTGACCACAACTAACCGATTCTCTGGTGCAAATGGTACTTACTTTTGTAAAAGTATAGGAATAAATCTTGATTTGGGCTCAATGTTTTCATAAAATTGGCAGGATTTTGGCCTCTAAGAATCAAAAGAACAATTATGATATTCCATTCCACTGTTAGTTTTGTAAATCTGGCATATCTGCTGATTAATTTACACAATGCAGACCTAATAAAAATTCGAGATCAACAAAACACTTCATTCAGTTTATATTTGTGTCTTAAATAATGCAAAACAATTTAAAGGATGACTCAAATAAATAATAACTGAACCAATTTTATTCAAAATAAAAGTTCTCATTTTATCTTTTTAGGAGCTTCCAAGCTTTCGGCTGCTTCCTTAGCCCTCTTCTGCCTCTTGCCCCACATTCTTGCATCAGCTCTAGCTACACGTAATGTGACAAATGCTTTGAATTTTCTTTCTTCTTCAGTTGGTACTCGGGCCTTTTCTCTCCTGAAGTGTTTCTTAACAGGCATAACAACTCCTTGCAACTGAGTTGCCATCTTTATTTCTTCAGCCTAAAAATACAAATATTTATACATATATTTTTTAAAGAGAGAAATGAGGCTCATATTATACACTATTAAAACTAATACTTTTTTAAATAAAACTTCAAATGTGTAAATACAGGGTGTTCGGGATAAATTCAACATATTTATAATTGATTATATTTTTTTGTAGGTTGGAGGTATTGACACACACTACTCGTCATTTAAAAGTTTGGACCCTTTTTCATTCATATACAAGATATCAGAAAGGATGGATGACTGGAACCCACCTGAATCATGGAAGAGAATAACTTGCACCACGATGATTCGTGCCAGCCATCAAAATAAGGATATTATGACTGCTGCCCATTTGCTCCCTGAACACAGTAAAAATAATCAGGCATGAACTAGAGATTTGCAATGGCGACTACAAGGATATAGCAAGAAGAAAGATCCCTAGCAGACGATCTGATTGCGTTTGTACTGCAGAATTCCTCGCAAATCTGCAGGAACAAGTGTTGAAGAACTCTGGTCTTGGAATTCCGGTTTTGTCATGTGAAATGAATGTTGCAGCCTCTACTATGAAGCTTGCACTCAATGAAGACCTTCGCTACTACTCGTACAAGCGGATTTTTTTCCTTTACGAAACTGTCAAATTTATCACAAACACCCTGTATATCGCAAATCTGTATTTTTATCATTTATTTCAGTTCAGGTTTTTATAATGCTTCTATGTAAATCTCCAGTTACCGATACCTGCTATCTTTTGCTTTATATAATATACATTCCTTTAAATCAAAAGAACAAAACCAAATTATTCTGTAATAACTGGAAAATTATTCAACGTTGACATCTTTCAATTACGTTCAAATACTAAAATAACTCAGAATTTTAATAAATTTTAATTTAAAGTAGAGCTGAACTGCATTTAGTGGAAGAAGAGAAACAGGAATTTAATTTCGTTAGAGGAAGACATTTAAAGAAAACTGGCAGATATCCTCATTACGCATCCAGAAAAATACCATTCATCCAGATTTAAAGTACCAATGTTCGGTGGTTTTACTGCTCTGCCACAGTTATAAAAGCTAAAAGGGCTATACATGATTATTAGAAGCTTGTTCTTAACAAAATAAAAAAGGGGTTTAAAACATTATAGTTTATTGTAAGTTGGGATCTTTATGAAACAAATGGAGTGAAAAAACAATTGTTGCATAAGAATAAAATTAATTTTCTTGTTTAAAAAACTTACAGTAGCATCACCCTTCTTGGGCTTGGAGAGTTTTCGTGGGAATAGTATCAACTTAGATTTATAAACTTTAAGACGCTGAACATTTTTTTGTAGGCTTTCCACATTTTTGTTTCTCCTCCTGAAATCTACAGCAATTCCAATCGTTCTTGCTTCTTTTTTATGTATTCCGGCTGCCTGCGAAAAAATTCAACTGATCAGCTTCATAAAATCTAGCTAAAGACAATAAATTATTTATTTTGGGGGTATGTATTAACTTACGTAATTTGTATATTACATATTTTACTTACATATTAACACAACCACCTTAACAGAATTCAGCAAATTTTCAGAATGTGACAAATTCTGGCAGCCATGCCCATAATAAGCCTTTAATCAAGCAGCACTGCTATTTTCGTATGCTTTCTTTTTTTGTTGTATTCCAAGTTCCAAAAGTTTTTATAAACAAATCGTGATATTTTTTCCTTAAGCTTATGTTTTAAAATATGAGCTTGTGGAATTTGCTAGCAATGGAAGAAATTGTAGTAAAATTTCTGAAGAAAGGCAGAATTTTGCTGAAAGTTTCTTCAACGAAACAATGTGTCTCCTAGGTAGCCACTTGCATGAAGTCGAGTATCCACAATTCTGTTTTTATAAGCGGAAACAAACTGCTGTGTACTTCGGGAGATGAAAAAATTACAGCAAGATTTGAAGAATGTATTTAATTTTTTAATTGTTTCACATAATTGTTATTTAATTATTCAAAATTCTTTTAAATTGCTGAAGTATGTTTTATTTTCACATGATGATAATAATGTTTACCGACATATGACAAATAGTAAAATTTTTTGTGCATTTCATTAAATTTATTAGATTGAATTAAATCTACTTTGTAGATAAATCACACTAGAATAAACACACTCTTTAAAATTCGCTATATTTGCTTACCATAGTGACACTCTGGCGCTAGGTTCATTTAACAGTGTTACATTTCGTTCGTATTATAACTCGAATGCATGTACATTTATATCATTTGAAGAATTATCTAATCATTGCCACCTGTTCTATTCAAATACTATAATAAATATAAAACAATGTATAAAAGAAATTAGGCAAACAAAACAAAAAAGAAACATTTTAAACACACGATTCATTATTTCTCATTCAATTAATTCAGTTTTCACTTCCCAACAAGGCAAAAATACATAAAAACTCAAAATATCTATATTAAAAATTACCGAGTAAATCTTAAAACACTTATTTGCTCGAATAAATTCCAGAATGGATTAAACATGATTTAATTCGCAATAATAAAACGCGGCGTTATCTTTGTTGTTGCAAAGTTTAGTTTCTCTAGATTGGCAACAAATATGTTATTTTACCAAGTTTGAAATGTAAACAAACATTTCCGCCATCAGAAAAATTATTAGGCTTAGCTAACTTAAACAACTTTTTAAATTTTTGATAACTCCACAAATATTGCTTGCAGATTTACTAAAAGCATAAAAACCTTAACCGGAAGATAAGAACATAAAAGAGTAAAGTAACTGAGAACACTGAGCCGGGTAACAGAGTGGATATATATATACACATTTATAAGTTTGGTGCGGCCGATTGCAACCAAAATACGAGGCGCATATCTACATGTTATAGCAGTCCTATAGACAAAATTTCAACGTTTCAAGGCCACTCATTTGAGTTACACGAGATAGCTATGTATGTACAGACGCCACGAAAAATTCTCTTCAGAATTAATTTTAAATCAGTTTGATAATTTTTTTGAGGAAAGAGTCTTTCTTTTATCCTGTCCTTACTTAGAGATGTCATGCAAGAACATCGTTAAATTGCACTTGATAGTGGTCAAAATGAATATTTTCGTTGAAACATGATGGCTGAAACTTTTCGCGATTACAATACATTCAAAAGTCGTTAATTTGGACACCCATAATCCGGACCTCAAAGCTACAAACTTTCTGCGCATGCGCGTAAGACTTTTACGGCTGCGAATATGTGTGCGCGCAGGTGCGTAATACGTTTACGCGTTTAATGTATAACGGACAGGCTAAGCTAAAATTATCTAATTCAGTTAATGTTGCAGATTGCGTCGTTTCTTAACCTTCGAATTGGATTTGGCTTATTACTTTTTGCAGACTGTTAGAGCAATTTTATAAAAGTAAGCTTGAACTTTCGATTATGTCAAATAGAATTTCCGATATATATTTACTAATATGTAAAGGATCTACAAAGCGAAAGTATGTTTCGAAGCCCATTAAGCAGAAAGTGGAATTGCTGCAAAAAATGGATAAAGGGATATATTGTTTGATTATCTAATCCTTCTGAAATATGTTTATCAATTTCACGCTGCTCTGTGACGCGCAATGAATTGGAAGTTGATCTGTCAGCACTATCCTTATCTTCAGGGCAGATGTTTTTATTTTATTTGGCTTATAATTCTTTACTAAATGTAGTATTTCATCTGGATGTACTCGGTCTTTGATATGACTTAAATTAAGTTCCTCGTCATTATAATTCGTTTCCGATAGGAAAGAAAGTGACAGAGATATTGAAAACGGAAAAATTTCTATTGACAAATTAGTCGGTATTTTCGACACAGCAATTATATAGGATTTGAACAGCGGAACTTCGTAACTAAACAAGAAAATATGTCTGTTTAATAGAATTAAAGAGGAAGTATTATCACATGAAACGAAGCAACTTACATTGAAAGAAATGTTTAATAAAGTAAACAAACAAATATTTAGCATTTTCTTTTTGTAAATTTTGATACCCTTTAGATCATAATTGCTCTTTATTTCATAAATTACGGCTTCACATTTTTAATTTTATAATTTCTTCATGCCATCTTAACAGATTTAAACTGATGATCTATAATCTGGAATAATCGATAATCCGGAATCGTCGAAGTCCCAACGAGTTCAGATTAACGACTTTTGACTGTACTTCCTTTTTACTTCGTATAAAGAAGTAAAAAGGGGGGGACGCAAAAAACACCAGCTTGCACTCAATAAGTAACTTTTACTTTTTCATCTGCGTTACGAATCTGAAGTTCTTTTCTTGCCGCTAGCAGAGGAGTATTAATTTCTTTCAATTTTTAGAACAACACTGCTCTTGACTCGGTTGAGATAATCTGGGCAGCCATGAAAACAGCTTGTCTTTTCAGTTTGCAATACAAAACTGTATAACTAATTGTAAATAATTTTGTATGCTAAAGTTCATGTTATGAAAATTTCAAGGCAGTCTACTAATCAGATATCATGAAACATGGTCAACGCAGATCCAATGAAGATCAAACCGTTTAAAAAAAATTTTAAAGGCGAAACAAATATGGAAAAAATAGCTCCCTTTGAACTCTCGAAAGTATTTGACGGCATATAAGATGCACTTTTTTTCCTAAATTTGGTCTCAAAAAAGTTACCTGTGTCTTATACATGAAGGACACAGGTTAACTTTCAATACTAAATGCCATTTTAACCCCGGGTAAAGGTCTAGACACACATAACTTTTTTTACATCTGCCATAATTATTTTGGCATGTGTGAAATATCTGTCAAAAAAAAGAGCCAAAGCTCGAAGCTGATGTCGAAGTTCGAACAGATTCGACAGTCACATTACGTCTATGGAGCCTTTCCTTCTTTATATAGACTTTCTTTAACTCGGCCGACACACGTGTCGGTATCGGTGCCGCTCTGTATAAACGTGTCGATATCGGTGCTTAAAACTTTGTTTTAAAAAAATACCTTGGAAAATATGACTACAGGAAACAACAGATTAAGTTATACAATTCAGTATAAACTAGGAGTGTTAAACTACGCCAAAGTGCATGGAAACAGAGCAGCAGCAAGGTATTTCGGTCCACCACCTACCGAAAAAATGATACGTACTTGGTGACTGAAGGTAGATCAACTGAAGACTGCAAAAAACAAAAACATAACCTTCGATGCCCAGCTCCATCTTGACCTAAACCTGAAAATGCCGTAAAAACGTGGTTGACAGATAAGAGGAAATCTGGGATAAGTGTTTCAACCAAAATGATAATCAATGAGGCCAAAGGATTTGCAGAAAAACGTGGGAATCAAAACTTTTCAGGGTCTGACGGCTGGTGCTACAGGTTCATGAAAAGGCAAGGCTTATCAATGCACACAAAAACAAGTATTGCACAGAAATGCCAGCAGATTATGAAGAAAAATTACTAGCATTTCATAGGTTTGTTATAAATGCACACAAGAAAACTTCTTTTGAGCTTGGTCAAATAGGAAATATGGATGAAAGAGAAAGAAACCACATTTTAAGTTATTGTGGTACTGCGCTCTCGCTCGGACTATTGAAACTTTTTTCCTTATGTGTGGCCTTCTAAATGAGGGTGCATCTTATATGCCGTCAAATACGGTAAGTCTTTAATCAAAAAAGGGAATATATCAGATTGCAGATAACGAGAATAAAGTGACTCTTACAAGATGAAGTGTCAGTGGATAATACGGATATTATTCAAAAGCTTCAAGCAGTAGAAAAATACATTTTAAGATGGAGGATTTACACAATGAATGCTACCGCAAACTTTCAACCCAAGTTCTATTGCAAATGTTAAATGTAAAACTGCTGTCAATCTTCCCGAATTCTCAGGTGTATTATATACTGAATGGCTATATTTAAATCACAGTTTATGGTATTAACTGACAATAGTTATCAAAACAACAAAAATTATATTATCTCAATCAGAACATAAGGGTAATGGAAGACAATTATGGTATACATGTAGTAATTTATTCGAGGCATTAAAAAAAAAAAAAAAAAAAACTCTTTGAGAACTCATGGTTACTTATTATAAGTCATCATTAATGAAATATTTAATTATTGTACAGTTAAATCTAAATCTGCATCTAATTTAGATGCTTGATAAAATCGAGAGTAATTTGAGATTGTTAAAATAGTAGTTGGAATTACACACAAACCCTCTTTGCAAAACTATCTTATTATATGTAAAGGCTCGTTTACACCTCTCCAAGCGATACACAGCGAGCCTCTCGCTATGACTTCTTTGACTGTGTAAATGCTCATTAAGTTGGAATAGAAACATAGGGTAATGAATTAGCAATTCTGTTTCTACTTTGAACCAATTGAAAATCTATCTGGGCAGTAATTCCGAGCAGTGTTCGCAGAGATGTCGTGCCCTTTTTCCCA